ATGGGCGGCGGCGTCGCGAGCGCACAGCGCCAGCACGCGGTGACTACGCCGCAGCGGCCGCGACACGTACAGACCTTCCAACGTCCTGCAATTCTCCCTGAAATATAAAGTAAAATAAATAAAATGAAACGAAATTATGCAGAAAAGCTTGTCTACCGACAAAAGCCTACTCTAGAGTTTTCCACTCATTCCTGTCTCTTGCTGAAGGGGTCCATACTGGACCTGCTATTTCCTTGAGGTCATCCTCCCATCTTTTGTTTTGTCTGCCTCTTTTTCTTTTGCTATCTTTTGGATACCACTCTAATATTAACTTAGTCCATTTCTAAATATAAAGTACTAATCTACAAAACATACCTCAATAACAATTATTTTAAAAAATCTCACTTATTATTAAGAATGATAGTGATTGAAGATTATAGCGTGGTTCCTCATGTTTTATTGTTATCCATATTAACCCTTAATTGGACGGAGTTTTTTGTATCAAAAATATTATACCAACATTACTGTTGGTACCAACACACTAAAATCTCACATATTTTTCTGTGAGCTAGTTTGTTGTGTTTAGTTGTAGTCATTAGATTTTTTTTTTAATTCGTTTGACAGTAATAATTTTTCACAAATTTAATTTCACAGTAAAAACAGCAGTGTCCAGTGTGACTAATATAGTAATAGCTGGTTTTCCCACTGGAAACTATCGAATTAGGGGTTAAAATATTATAACTTAGTACTTTGAGTGCAAAGAATACGTACTCGTTTAGTGTTGGCATATCATTGTGGAGATAAATATTTAAAGCTGCAAGTCGCATTGCAACACGGGTGGGCGGCAGTAGGCGGGGTGCGAAGTAGGAATCGACTCGCATCGAGCCCCATAGCTGCTCCGAGGTGAGTTCACCGCCCTCTACACTGCCTCCCGCACTGCCGCACTCTATATCCGACACCGCAGACCACATAGCGTCAGCACCCTGCATATACAACAAACTTAGCATACGAACTAATCACAATAGGAAAAAATAAGCTGTAAGCATTTATTTTACTTTTCATTTGTTCTTAGAGACAGAAATATGAGAGAGAGAGAGAGAGAGAGAGAGAGAGAGAGAG